AGATATTTTTGACTTTTGTAATTTTGGATGAGTTTAGTGCATCCCAACTCTACTTTCAAACTCATCCAAAATATCTAAAATTTTTGGATGAGTTTCATTTTGCATCTAGAATCTGTATCTGCGTCTAGATGAGGAAAGAACAGCCCCTAAGTAAATTTTACAATTATGTCAAAACAAACACAATAGCATATTATTGTCGAAGCTTTTGAATACATATATACAGATCATTATCAATTCTACATGTTTAGTCATTGCTTTTAAGATCGACCCATACTAATTGGCATATAATATAAACAAAATTTTAAGTTATACCTGAGACCAAAACGATTTTGTTGGACAACGAAACTGCTAATATGACAAAGAGAGAAAAGATCATTAAAGTTTTCGCAATACCCATAATTTTGATTCTATTATGCCAATTGAAAAGAATAAAATATGATTTTGTTATTATTTTAGGTCTCAAAGAGAGGCTCCACTATATATAACGACCGTGGTCTAGGAAAATCTCAAATTTACCCGATTTGACTTTTAGTGGCTCTTCCGTTTATGCTATTCAAACCATACAAAGGCCACCGTGAAAGATCTTTGCTCTTCCATTGTAAAACACTACAAATCAACAAAAAAAAAAACACTTGTGTGTGTATATATATCTCTGAGAAACAAGAGAAGATGTTTAACATCATCAACAAAAATGGTATGCAGAATTGCAGATAAATTCATCTCGTCTTTGTCTGATATTCGCCATTACCTTATCAACCAACTCGCTCGACCCGAAACTTCGGTCTTCGTCTCTGTAGGTTTGACATGGAGTCGCTACTGGTGGCCAAGGTGGTGAGTTCACTGTTATCTCCTCTACTTCACACAGTTGTTAGATTTCTTTGTCATGATGTTATTGTTATGAATCTGCAATCACTCAAAAAAACAATGTCCACTTTGAGACATGATGATTTTTAAATCAGAATTCAGAAGACAGAGATTGAGTAGACAAGTAATCACCTCTACTTCACTAGTTTTGGCTGTGTGTTTCTCAGAGCCACCAAGAGTTTTTACGTTCTTGTTCTGTTGTGACTCTGCTTCTTTAAGAGTAGCAACCTATTTTGTAACAATTTCTCACTTGTTACAAAAGTGGATGTAAAGACAACACTACAAAGATAAGAAGATAGATGGTTAAAATCAAAGATATTAACCTTGAGCACGATCGGATTGAGATCCGATGCAAGTGCTAGTTCTTTAGTCATTAAAGACAAGCAAACGAGATTTGGAGCTCTTGGTACCGTCAAGGCCGAGCTTTTGAAAACACTCTCTCCAAGAGAGGTTGGTAGAACGGATCTCTCCTTACTGGAGGAAGATGGTGGAACGATTTTCTCCAGAAAAGAAGCAAATGGTGGACGTGGTCTTTCCAACAAGGAAGACATGAATGAAAGTGATCTCTCCCTAAGGGAGGAATTTTGAGTATAAACCCCTAATACGAATGACATTTGATACTTTAACAAAAAACCACTGGCCCATGGTCCAAATTTCTTTGACGTAGCCAAAGGTGAAATGTTACAGCTCCCACCGGTGATTCAAGGTCGACAGCCGAAGCATCATAGGAGGGGAGTTTTCCGGCAGGGAGCAGGTACACTATTCCGGCTTGAGAGAAGTAAACAGTTCTCGTCGGCATCTCGGGAATGGAGAGATGCGGCGGACAGGTTAGCAGCAATTTTAGCTCCGGTGGGTAAGAAAGTTCTTATCAAGTCAATAGATTGAAACGGTGTCGATACGCGGTGAGACGAGCCAAAGACAATAAGCATGATGATGGTTCTTCGGGGCACACCCGAGAAGGTTCTAGATCCAACAGATCTTGAAAGGTGGCTCCGCCGTGCCTGGATATGTGTGGTGGTGGTGAATGAAAAACCGACGGCAGAGCAGAGATTAAACTTCGTCTTCTCCATTTCTTCGACAGAGAAGAGAAGAAAGACAACATCGGTTGCCAAAAGCCTCAGTCGCCGGGTAAGAGGCAGAGAAGAGACTCTTGTCACCAACGTCGTGGTTTCCCTCCTCCTACGGTGGTCAGAGAAAGAGACAAGCAAACCCAACAAAACAAAAGAAGCCATAACATACGAAGAAAGACAGAGAAATCTGGTAATAAGGGAACGGTCCGACGCCGGTGAGTCGGAGATCTGACTTAGAATGGGTTTCTCGATTCTTGTGCCTGAGAGGGTTTTTGAGAAACAAACACATTCAAAGTACTGTAAGTGTTAGGAGTTATAGTAAATTGCAAAACCAAGCCTTTGTAAAGATGATCCAAAACAATATCCAAAAGAAACGTTTTTTTTATTAGAAGGGCCAAAATCTATTATTTTTGCTAGATGGTATTAATGAGATTCATCAACATTCAACAATCACTTAACAATGAATGGACCTAACTACCTTTTGTTATGCTGTTTAGGCTATATTTTATTTTATTTTATTTCTGGTCGTTTAATATGATATTTCAAAATTTGCCTAAAGGATTTTTTGCAAAATTTTATTCCAACAAGTAAATGCAAGATATGATTGCATAACTAAATACGGTATAAAATTGAAGTGATTGAAAATACTGAAATAAAAGTTAGCATGGTAAAAACAAAATCCCATTTTAGCTGAATACTAGTATTTGATAAACAAGAAACACTCTTTTTTTTTTCGGTTAAGTAGAAACACTCTTTACTTCTAAGATTTGATCATCTAGTTTTCAGAAACCCACGAACTTCGGTGAGGAAGTTGTTGAGGTTTTTTCTGAATTTTTTACTAGTAATTGAATTGTCTCTTGGCAAGTGTGACATTCTGCAGGGATTAATTGTCCCGTGGGAACTATTCACATCAGACGCGATTCCTCCACGCATGTGACAGCATTTAGTAGCAAAAGTCATTCAAAGTGTCCACGAACCCACCCAAAGACATATGGTAAGAAGTTTTACTATTTTTCTTAAAAGAAAAAATGAGTTTTACTATTATTTGTTTTTCTTAAATTTATAGTTAATGAATCATTTTTAAGAATATTTTAAAACTTAATGTAACAAAAACAAAATGGTTGAAACACCATGCAGTCGCGTTTCAAAAACACTAAGAAAAGAGTTACGGGACACGATAACACTGAATGTCTGAGATTCTATCGTCGAATCACCTGAAGATTTCAGTTTATAGCTCATATATGGCTAGCATTAGGGTTGTATATAACTTCAGACATCAACACAATTGAAGCAGGTTGGCAAGTATACTATTATATAATTTAAATAATAAACAAGTTTTAAACTATTTTAATTTTGTCTAATTAGGTTTATCCGACGAGAAATCATGACCACTAATCCAAATTATTCACTTATTGGATGATATTTTATTTCAAAAGTGTCTGAAATTATATGTTTGACCAATAAATAACATACATGGTATTTTGTTTAAATCAACATCAATACGTTTGTATTTTTACCTTTTCTGCGTCTTTTAATAGATTTTACTTTTCGAATACCAACTAGCAGTACATTAGAAATATTCA